GACTTAGAATAAATCAGACGCAGGTACACAGAATAATCACGTTGGGAACAGGAACCCAGTGGAAAAGAGAAACTGCTAAGCTACGCTGCCTGCGGGGCTTCTGCAGGGAGTTAGTCACCTAGGATAGCTTTCAACTTCTCATTGAGGGAGGAAGGGCAAAGCCCGGTTTCTTAAAACTATAACTTAAAGGGGGGGGGGGGAATCAGAGCCCAATTTAACACTGCTGTACAATAATTAGAAAAACTAGACCAATCCTAATCTTTAACTTTTAAAAATATATCACAAAAGTGTACATACATGTTTAGCTTGCTTTCTACTGCTGTGATAAACGCCTTGACTGAGAGCAGTTTGGAAAGGAAAGGGTTTATTTTAACTTACAGCTTCCAGTCCATCCCCAGCGGACTCCAGGGCCAGAGCTTGAGGCAGGAATTGAAGAGAGACTGTGCAGGACCACTGCTTACTGGCTTGCTTCCAGATCATGTTCAGCCACAGACCTTAAGACCTATCTGCCTAGGGATGGTGCCGCCCACAGTGGGCGGGGCCCACTTAGCAATGGAGAAAATACCCCACAGATATGCCTATAAGCCGGTCTGAAGGAGACAATTCCTCAGGCGAGGTTCCCCTCCCCAGGTGTGTCAAGTTGACATCCAAGGTCAGCTGTTCATCCCTCACAGCTTGGAAAGGTTTTGTTTGAAGTAGCTTTTACTGCCAAAGTATCTGCTAGATACAAACAGTCCTGCTTTGCTGTAGCTGGCTAAAAGGTGTGCATTCACGACAGGCAAGGCATCCTTACTCTCACCCCATTAATGTCAAGATTAACCTTTTCCCTTCTGCTTTCCCGCCTTACTGAAAAGGACCCGCTAGCAGTAAAAAGAAAACAAAAGGGGTTAGAGTCAGGCGTGGCTTCCAGCACACTGGGGCATGCTCTGGCTCCGTGAAACATCAGGTGAGGGAACTGAGCAGAAACAGGTTGGTGCAAGACAGCGGGAGGGGGGGGGGAATACAGGGGAAACGGGCAACAGCATAGGGGAGGAAACTAGACAGAGGCAAGACGTGAAATCATAGCACTTACATAGACTGTCTCATGCCAAGAGGGGAAAGGGTCCTGTTTTGTTTCAAATCTAAAGTTAAGCCTACAATGCAAACAATCCTAAGGGTGCTGAGAAGAGGAAAAGGTCTTCCTCGGGGAAGAGCCCAGTTGGTTGTCCAATACTGAATGCCCAGCCCTGGAATCATATACATACAGGTTACATTATATGGACTGAGCGAAGTTATATTAATAAATTTAAGAGTGTGTGTCTGTCTGTGTGTGTGTGTGTGTGAAGACCAACTAAAGAAAAAGATCATGAATCTGAGAGAAGTCAGAGGGCACATAAGAGGTGTTGGAAGAAGGAAAGGCATAAATTCCTAATTACAATTCCAAAGTATATTAAAAATTAACTGAATAAAAAGTCCCTTATAAATGTAAACATTTGTCTCTTGAAAATTCACGGGTATCACTAAACATGTTAAGAACTATTTTTAAAGCTGTGTTAGGATAAGAGCTACAGTGTCAGCAACCCAGCCCTCCCCACCATGTGGGAACTACTAGGCTTATTCTCTGTCACCAGCAGGGAGGAAACTGGTTTTTTCAAAGGTAAAACAAGGCTGGGACATAACCCTGAGACCTGGCATTTGCCCCACTCCTATAAGGCCTTGAGTCTAATTCCCAGCAGTGCCCAAAAGGGGGTAAAAAGGTAAAACCGTCAGAGATCAAGGTGACTACATTCCAAGGTAACCCAATAGTTGAAGATGGTCTCTTTGTAGACACGTACATTCTGGCTAATAAATGATAAATAATGAGAACATTACTTTGTAACCTCTGTCATGCAAGCTATATAGGAAGACAGGCAGACAGACAGATACAGCCACAGATGGCCATTTGGACACAGCTCTGTGTCACTGACAGAGCAGCGGCCCGGATCTGAAATGACACTACCAACCAACCGCATCTGGAAAGATCGAGTGCGTTGTTTAGGCACGGTTCCGCCTATGATGAGGCGCAGGGTCCCTCAGACTCGATGACAAGGGGGAACACGAGAGAAGTCAGAAGTGTTGCTCACCTCTTACTCATACGAGTCCACTTTCAACGCGTCTGCAGATATGGGGCCTCCTCACACCCGACCCTAGCCCATGGAAAAGGCCGCCTCCGTCTCCTTGGCCCCCACACTACAAAATTGTTGAGCTTAGAGGATGACATGCCAAAGCAACAGACCTGCAAGCTGCCTGCTAGACTGGAAGAAACATATGTTAAAGATGACCTAAGGGAGTGAGCGGGAAGGGAAGATAAATTTCCCAGCATGCAGGGGGCCTTGGTTCCCTAGTTAACGACCTGGCTTCATTTGAACCATTTCCCCAAATGACATTGTCAGAGGCCAGGCTGGACCCCACAGAGGACAAGGCCGTTGAGGCTTCATCCACTATCCAAACAGCACCTTAAAACTCCTCAGTGGACACCCGGGCAAACTCTGTGGGAAATCACAGCTAGAATGGGTCAGAGTCGGAGTCGGCAGTTCCCGGGAAATGTGCACCTTCCTCCCCCATCCGCAAAGCAGGAGTGGCATCTGCCTCAGGCTGCTTCCAGAGGGCAAATGCCAATTAAAAAAAAAAAAAAAAAAATCCCTTTCCTTTTCTTGACTTGAACCAAATTATGGGCAGCTTATATTTGTGTGTGCATCTGTACGCCACCACTGCCTCCCTGGAGGGCCGGTCCTGCCTATGGTCACCCTGACAGTGTGGGGCTTTCTCCCCCCCCCCAATGACTTTTCAGCCTCAGTCTGGCTCAGGGCCTGAGTTCTCCGGTGGCCAGGAATGTTACAAGACTTCAGGGTTACATTGGGAAGAGGAGGAGGAGGATGTATCTCTAGAGGATTCTCCTGTAAAACAAGTCAAAAACAGCTGGCTCCCCAGAAGCAGAAGGGCTTAGCAAAAAAAAAAAAAAAAAGGTATGGCCCAGCCCTCAGGTCTAGAGAGGCCCTGGAAGGAGAAACCCAAACCAAACCCAAGAAGCAGGCGTCCAAGGCAGGAAGAGCCCACCTTGGCATCTTCTGTGCCCGGGGAGGATGCTCACAGCTGTGCTCTGGCACAGGTGCCTGTCTACACCTGAGTCTAAATGTAACAGCGTGGTGTGGGGACCACACAGGAGCCCACCCACCACCCAGCCCTCCTGTCTCAGGAGGCTCTCAGAGAACCCTGCAGATACGCAATGTACGCAATAAAATATGCTTGATCATAAAATACATATATATGACTAGAAAACTTTATTGAGGAGCTTCAGAAATAAATATCAGTGCTCATCTTAGAAGGTACTTCGGTACTGCCTGGCAGTGCACGGGGATTAGGAGTTGGTATTGTCTTATTAATATTCACATCTGCTTTCTGATCTTTGCAAATCTCTTTAATTACTCGAAAATATATTTAAAAATAAATATACAATTCAAATATGTATATATTTGACCATTTTAAGTCTTTTTTTATAGATGTGTTTTATTTACATTCCTCCATGGTTCGCCGAAGTCTCTTTTTTTTTTTTTTTTTTTTTTTTTTTAGGTACCTAGGGAGCCATATAATTAAGGCTAATGGTGGTCTAATCCAGAAAAAAAATACATACCAAGGGTTATTTTTCAGTTTCTCGGCAGAGCACAAAAAGAAGGAAAACGGTTTGGTTTTTAACTCCAAATGTTTTCAATTATAAAATTTGTTCATGTTTGTTTAGAACATGGAGAAAATGTAGAGGAAACCACTACTTCCTGTTCAAAGAAAACTCCCTTAAGATTACGTGAAGGGGGAGTTCCAGAAAACTGGCCAGTGGATTCTTCTCCAGGTAGACCACACTTGCCCAGGAGGCTTCGGCGGCTGCTGCTGCGGCCACTGTGCTCTAGGGACACCCCACCACCCTGAGGACAGCACTGGCCTGACAGGACATTTACGCCGCTCAGGAGGGTACATCCAGCCAGTACGAAGGACATATCCAGCAGTATCAGCTCAACTCTTCTTGGCGATTTCTTTTCATTCTGAATCAATAACCTACAAACGATTTCCACGCTGATCCATCTGCTTCCCGTGAAAACACACAGAACACCGGACACTTGGTGCTGCATCTGAACAAACTCGGCAGAGAGCAGACACCAAGCCCAGGTGTGCCAACGGGCTGCCGTGAGGACTGGAGTGTGAAGCATAACTGGTCTGTAGCACGCACAGGTATCAAGACCGTCATTTGTAAAGCACGGCTCCAACCACATGGCTGTGTAGCTTTCTATAAACCTGAGAGTGACCAGACATGCGCCAGATGCAAAAACACAGTTAGGCAGAGAAGTGACACCAAGCGAGTAAACCATCGTGGGAAACCCTACACAATGGCTTGGGCTTACTTCAGACAGAACACCACCAAACATCTTCAAGGTAAAAACAAATGCACACGGGTGTGGCGGTCACCTGAAAGGAGCCTGTGGTCGGTTAAGTTGCCGTGAGGGTCGACACAAATGGACCATCTTCCACTTCACCTGACAGAAATTTCTCACAGGTTCCAGTTCCCACGCAGTACTAATTAGATTAACTTGCACACCTGGCTAACAGGAGAGCGGATGAGGCTGAACAGTCCCATCTGGTATCTTATCCTGACTGCTCTTCAGGGGCAGAGGGGGAGGATGCCGCCAAGGGCATGGGCACAATGTTCACAACAATAACAAAAAACCTGGAAAGACACAGGAAAGACCGATAAATATGCCATCTACACGAGAGACAGGGAATCAGAAAACGCTGTGCCATGGCGATCCCCAGCAGCCATATACCACTTCCTGGACTTCTCTTTGGAGATTCCGTCCTTGGTCTGAATTGCTTATGAAGTGTGCAACATGATTAGTGTGGGCTGTCTGTCACTCAGCCCGGGGGAGAAGCATTAGTGAACGTCAATTCTAGACGCCAACTGCTGCCCCTCAGAGCAACCAGGAGCACTGCGTCCAGGCTTGCAAACCCTCGACGAGCTCCTGCTAACCTTTGGACCCAGGTTTCAGACTTGCAAACACTTTGGGGTTCTTAAGGGCGAGCGAGAGCTCATTGAGGAAGGAAATAAAATGGGAGTCTCGCTCAGATTTCTTTGACTCAAAAATGACGACGATGGTGAAGTGGGGTTCTGGGCGGGTCAGGAAGTAGGTGCTCTGGACTTTGTCGTCATAGAAATGGACCACTTTCTCCAAGCTGTTCAGGTCGGATGTCCGGTCTGTCATGATCATGATGACATTGGGCCAGTGCATGACTGGCCTGTCACTGGGCAGAGACACCACGGCCGGGTACTGGTCCACTCCCTTAGGGGCCTCTCGGTAGGAGTGCGGGTGGTGGTAGCCGTGACCCTGAAAGCTCTCTGAACCTCGGTTGTCAAAGATTAAGGACACGTTGGCAGCGTCGTACTTCCTGATGAAACTGGAGATCTTCCCAAAGAGGTCGGGGTTGGCCTTTGCCGTCAGGGCTTTCATTTCCGAAGCTGTCGTCTGTCGGCTCAGCGCCTCGTGGAAGTAAAAGCTAAACTTGGCCAAGAGCATGTTTTTGAGTTTCGTCAGCCAGAGGAAGAGGTGAGGGGACTGGACGGCCTTCTGAGACTGCCCTCCGAACAGGTGCTTCTTGGTCTCCCGCTGCTTCTCAAAGGTCTGGCCCCAGCTCTGCAGCTTCGTGTGAGCGCTGTGCAAAGTCACCAGGGAAGGAAGGAACTTCCACTCCGAGATCTGGGCCTGCGCCCTCAGGAGATGGCTCAGCACGCCCACTTCCAGCTGGAAACTGCTTTCCAGAGGGCTAAGGATTGGGTGGTGAAATCTAGACGCGAGCGGAAGGAACAGAAATCAGTGGCAAAGTCACTTCACATGGGAAAACCTTCAAAAACAACAAAACAGCAACATGAACCCCAAACACACCGCGGACAAAGGCGGAAAGGGGAGGAGTCTAGGCTCATTAACTGTTTTTAGAACGCTGGTATAACTTGAGCATTTCATCTTATTCTTGCAAGAAAATTCCCTGTATTTTGTGGTTTTCCTTTTAATGAGAGGAACGATCTTCTTTCCAAGTAGGAAGAAATCACATTGACTGTAATACTCTATTTACTCTGAGAACTGCATGATGGACCCTATCATCAAAACAAGGCACCCTCTTCTCAGGCTGTGCCACTAGACAACAGGACTAAGACATCGGCTGTCCACGGATAAACCACGTTTTACTGCTCGTACCCATTTTACCTGTGATCCGACGCTCAATAGGTAACAGGCATTTAACAAAGGAATTCAGCATTCACGGGACAACTGTTATCCATTCTACTCCCAAAGTCCCTTCACAGTTAACCATGGTTAAGAACAGAATGGCGACCAAAGAGGGGTGGGAGAGAGGACAATGGGAGACATTTGATGACAAGCAGAGAGGAGCCATGCAGAAGGGGAAAGGGGCACAGGCCAGGAGAGGCCTCACGTTCAAGCAAAGAACAGTGACTGCTAACTGCCATCTGCAAACACCGTAAGCACCGTCGCACTCCACAACAAGATGCGGGAGTCATGGGCAACTTAAAGATGCTGAGGCGAGGGAGAGCATGGCCTTTCTTCACCAACGTCTCTCTCTCACACTTCGGGTCTCCTCTGCAGGAGCACTGAGTTAGAGAAATCTGCTCGCAGCGGAGCTCAGGCCCCAGCACTGGGCACGCTTCATTTTTAAGAGTGTCTTATTTAATTGTGTGTGTGTTTTGTGTCTGTGGGGGTCAGAAGTCAGCATCAGACGCCCTGAATTTCGAGTTAGAGATAGTTGACAGACATCATGTGGGTGCTGAGAACTGAACCCAGGCCTCTGCAAGAGTGACAAGTGCTCTTAACTACAGCCGTGTCTCTAGCTCAGCTTTATCTACAAGCTGCAAAATCAAAAGACGTCTCTGTTCAGTAAACAACATTTTGATCTTGAAACAATTTTAAAATTGGATGGGTTTGCTTTTACTGTTTCCCTGATTTGGGGCCTTTCAGCTGAGCTTTAGGCCTCTGTTTTCAACCTGCCTGTTGGACCTCACTTGAAAACCAGCTACTAATACCTTGCCCTCAGATTTAGCTTGGTACCTTTTTTCTGAGATCTCTTTACTTGTCCTGTCCGCAATACTAGCACAGGAACCTCCAAATCCTCTTTGGCAGGGACCTCACCATTCCTGCCGTCTGACCACCAAGACTACTCACTCCTTGTTAGCGTCCTATTCCCACTGTCCTGCAACCATGGGAAACAACCAACACATGCCGGCTACCCACCTCAGCAGCCTGGCCCCTGCCCTTTCCTCCGGTGATGGATCACACCTTTGCTGACACGTTCCATAACCTGATGCCTCAGTAATTAGCGTAAGACAGAGATGACAACATGACATTCCCCGGTGACAACCGTCCACGCTTGCCCACTATTTACCAAACTGGGCAAACTTGCAGGCCGAACACCACCACTAAGTTGCTCGGCTTGTTTCAATTAAGCAGCTGCCACGCAGTGGTTGCTGTTCTAGGATTGTAAGCAGGTGGCATCTTGTTTGGGTACCTTTCTTTTTAATCAAACCTGTCTGAATTAAGATACCCAAGCGTGTAATATTCTTCAAAAGTATCTTTCTAATCCAAGTAGTACCCAGTATGCGAGGCTCCAAAGAAGCCAAAATAAAACTAGGCCCTCTGTCTTGACGATGTTCTTAAATTCCTACAATTCTTTGCGTATTGTTCCCAGGCTCAGGCAGCCTGCAGCACATCATCAACAGCCTCATTTCTTTCTAAGGGGCAAGTTTCCCAAAGAACAAAAGTTTGTCCTCCAACAGCGATGCATGACTTCACTATGAGTTGAAAACAAAACCAAGACAGAAGAAACCCATGCATATTAATGACCAGGGGGGAAACAGAAGAGAACTCCCACGTTATTATTCGGAAAAGAGCATTTATTAGATAGCCTGGTAGCTGCTCAGAGTCACACTGCTCTCCATACAAGTGTGTGTGTGTGTGTGTGTGTGTGTGTGGGCACACACACACACACACACACACACACACACACAGATTCAATGCGTCTTTGTGTAAAAGCCAGAGGTGACATCAGGCATCTTGGACTGTGTGCATGCATGCAGGTTTCAGAGATGACATCAGGCGCCCTGCACTGACATCAGGCGCCCCGACGTATCGCTCTCTGCCTTGTTCCTTGGACCCGGGGTCTCTTGCTGAACGTCGACGTCTTCCTGTCTACAACACCCCCAGCACTGGCATTAAGGTGCATGCCGTGGCACCCAGCTGTCGACGTGGGAGCTGGGGGCCCAAACTCGGCTTCATGCTTGCAGAGCCGGCACTCTTACCCACCGCGTCACTTCTCCGGCCCCCTACAACCGTTCTATCTATCGTGTGACTCCTGTCTTTCCAGGTAACCCACAGAGGGGTCTGTCCGGCATGGTTAACTGAACCCCAAAGTGCCCAACTGACGCCTGTTGTTCCATGAGCACTTACACGGGGGTAAGTGCAGGGACCTTCCTAAGAGTTAGGGAGCACTGGGAGCCCGCGCGGGGCCGACAGACCGCCCACTCTCCACTCTCACCTGGAGCTGTATTTCTTGAGGACGGCATCCAAAACGCCGACCAGCTCTTCGGCGTTGATGAACTTGTGCGTGCTGAGGGCGTACATCTTCTCGTAGAACTCTGCCATCTCCATCCGCGCCTGCACAAAGAAGCACAGCTGCTCTGACAGGTGAGGGAGCAGCTCCTCCACGTGAGGGGCCGTCCCGCCCGGGGCGCCTCTGCCTGTCACCACTTTCTTCAGCTCGTTATGCAGGGCCGTGTAGATGGTGCGGATGGAGTCCTTCCGGCTGAAGAAAGACTGGCCGCCTGGGAAGCGGATGGCATAAACACAGAACAGGTCAGGAAGACAGACACAGCTACCCTGCCCCTGTGGACCCCAGTGAGCTTGTGTCTACCACACTCTCTGACTCAAGGATTGGGGTACGGATACCCCGAGCCAGCACCTCACCGAGGAGCAAGGCAAAACTGAGCACTGGCTACAAATTCATCTTACTCACATATCAACCTTCCCCAACTCCACTTCATGATCATTCAAATTATTTTAGAACATAATTACCCTAGCATATAACATAAACCTGAATTTAAAAAAAAAAAAAAAAAAAAAAAAAACCCTCTCCTTTATGGATATACTTTTTTAAAAAGGAGAACACGGGCATTGTAAGACACTTCCATGGACCCCCATCTCCTGGCCTCTGCTGGAGAGGGTGGATTCAACAATCCCGCCACCTTCGGGGAACTTCCTAGAGCTGCTCCGAGCACATCAGACCTACCTATACACGGGAAACCACCCTGAATCCCCACCTGCCTGATCTCTGACCCCCACTGCCAATCCTCTGCCTGAGCTCCAGACCCGGCCAGAGATCTGCCGATCCCTGAAGGACCATCCTGGGTCCCTGCCTGCTGGATCTTTGACCCCCATCACTGGGCTTCTGCTGGAGCCTGATCTTTGACCCCCATGACCTGGCCGCTGCCTGAGGAGAGACCTCCTAGAGAGCTTGGACCACCCAGAGCTACAGACATCAAACCTCTGACCCACCTAAGACCACCGGGGTAGTAGCAGAGAGAGAGAGAGAGAGAGAGAGAGAGAGAGAGAGAGAGAGAGAGAGAGACCCCACCTGCACCCACTGGAAGAAGCGATGGGAAGACAGCAATACAAGAAAACACCTAACATTAGAAAGACAAGCATGACACCACCAGAATCTACAGGCTCTACACCAACTAGACCTCAACACCCCAAAGCAGAGGAAGAAGAGAACAACTTGAAAAATATCTTCATAAAAATGATAGAGGCCTTCAAAGACGATGTAAGAAAATCCCTTAAAGAAATGGAAGAAAAAAAAAACAAACAAAAAATTGGAAAAAATGAGCAAATCTCTTAAAGAAAGTAAGGTGAAGGAAACAGTTCAAGAGTTGAAAACTGAAATAGAGACAATAAAAAACACAAACCGAGGGAATGCTGGAAATAGAAAAGCTGGGCAAATGATCGGGAACTACAGACACAAGCATAACCAACAGAGTACAAGAGATGGAAGAGAGGATCTCAGGCGCTGAAGATAAACTAGAGGAAATAGATTCATCAAAGAAAATCTTAAATTCAACAAATCCTTATCATAAAATATCCAGGAAGTGTGGGGCCCCATGACAAGGCCAAACCTAAGAATAATAGGCATAGAAGAAGCTCAGCTCAAAGGTGTAGAAAACATATTCAACAAAATCACTGAAGAAAACTTTCCCAGTCTGAAGAAGGACATGCCCATGAAAGTACAAGAAGCATACTGAATACCCAATAGACTGGACCAAAGAAAAAAGACCTCTCAACACATAATAATCAAAACACCTAACATACAGAATAAAGAACGAATATTAAGAGCAGCAAAGGAAAAAGGACAGGTAACATATAAAGGCAGATCTGTCAAAATTACACCTGACTTCTCTATGGAAACTCTCAAGGCCAGAAGGTCCTGAATAGATGTTCTACAACTACTAAGAGTCCACAGATGCCAGCCCAGGCTACTATAATCAGCAAAACTCTCAATCACTGTAGAGGAATAAAACAAGATATTTAATGACAAAGCCAGATTTTCACAATACCTATCTACAAATCCAGCCCTACAGAAAGTTCTGGAAGGAAAACTCCAACCCAAGGAAGTTAACGACGCTCACAAAGACATAGGCAATAGAAAATCCCACTTCACCAGAACCCAATAAAGCAGGGCAAATATTTTCACAATACCACCACTAACAATAAATCTAAAACAAACAAGCATTAACAATCAGTGGTCTTTACCTTCCCTCAACATTAATGGTCTTAATTCACCTATAAAAAGACACAGGTTAACAGAATGGATACAAAGACAGAATCCATCCTTCTGCTGCATACAAGAAATGCATCTAAAGTTCAAAGACAGACATTACCTCAGGGTAAAGGGTTGGGAAAAGATCTTCCAATCAAATGTACCCAAGAAACAAGCAGGTGTGGCTATCCTAATATCTAAGAAGTTAGATTTCAAACCAAAATTAATCAAAAGAGATGAAGATGGTCATTTCATATTCATCACAGGAGAAATCCATCAGCACAAAGTGTCAATCCTGAACATCTATGCCCCAAATACAAAGGCACCCACATTCCTAAAAGGAACACTACTAAAACTCAAAGCTCACATAAAACCTCATACACTTATAGTGGGAGACTTCAACACACCACTCTCACCACTAGACAGGACCACCAGACAGAAACTTATCAAAGAAATAAAAGAACTAACAGAAGTTATGTCTCAACTGGGTTTAACAGACATCTATAGAACATTCCATCCAAACACAAAAGAATGTACCTTCTTCTCTGCTCCACATGGAACCTTCTCTAAAATCGACCACATACTAGGCGACATAACAAACCTCAACAGATACAAAAAAAAAAAAAAAAAAAAAAAAAAATGGAATAGTTCCCTCATCAGACCACCATGCTTTAAAGTTGGAATTTAACAACACAAATCACAGAAACCCTACAAACTCAGGGAAACTGAACAATGGGCAATTGCACCATACCTAGAATTCAACGAGAATGAGGACACAACATACCCGAACTTATGGGACACCTTGAAAGCAGTGCTACGAGGGAAGTTCACTGCACTAAGTGCCCATATGAAGAAAACAGGATAGTCACATTAGAGAATTAATAGCACAACTGAAAGCCTTAGAGCAGAAAGAAGCAAACTCACCCCTGAGGAGTAGTGCCAGGAAATAATCAACTTGAGGGCTGAAATCAATAAAGTAGAAACCAGGAAAACAATACAAAAAGAAAAAAAAAAATCAATGCAACAAAGAGTTGGTTTTTCAAGAAAATCAACAACATAGACAAACCTTTATCCAAACTAATGAAAAAGCAGAGAGAGAACATGCAAATTAACAAAATCAGTAACAAAAAGGGGGACATAACAATGGACACTGAGGAAATCCAGAAATTTTTCAGGTCATACTTTGAAAACCTATACTCCACAAAATTTGAAAATTCAAAGGAAATGAACAAATTTCTGGATAACTATCACTTACCAAAATTAAATCCAGAACAGATAAGCAACTTAAATAGACCTATAACCCCTAATGAAATAGAAGCAGTCATCAAAAGCCTTCCAACCAAAAAAAGCCCAGGGCCAGATGGCTTCAGTGCAAAATTCTACTACAAATTCAAGAAAGAGCTAATACCAATACTCCTCAAACTGTGCCACACAATAGAAACAGAAGATCCATTACCAAACTCTTTTTACGAGGCCACAATCACCTTGGTATGCAAGCCACACAAAGACACAACTAAGAAAGAAAACTACAGACCAATATCCCTGATGAACATTGATGCAAAAATACTCAATAAAATACTGGCATACTGAATCCAAGAATACATCAGAGAAATCATCCACCATGATGGCTTCATCCAAGTAGGCTTCATCCCTGGGTTGCAGGGATGGTTTAACACAGGAAACTCTTATCAACGTGATCCACCATATAAACAAAATGAAAAAGAAAAACATGATCATCTCCCTAGATGCTGAAAAAGACTTTGACAAAATCCAACACCCTTTCATGATAAAGGTCTTGGAGAGATCAGGGATAACAGGAACATACCTAAACATAATAAGAGCAATATACAGTAAACCAACAGCCAACATCAAACTGAATGGAGAGAAGCTTAAGCCGATTCCTCTAAAATCAGGAACTAGACAAGGCTGCCCTCTCTCTCCATATCTCTTCAATATTGTACTTGAAGTTCTAGCTAAAGCAATAAGACAACAAAAGGAGATTAAGGGGATACAAACTGGAAAGGAAGAAGACAAACTTTCACTATTTGCAGATGATATGATAGTTTACATAAGCAACCCAAAAAACTCTACCAGGAAACTCCTACAGCTGGTAAACACCTTCAGCAAACTAGCAGGATACAAGATAAACTCAAACAGTAGCCCCACTTTATTCATACGACAAAGGGGCTGAGAAAGAAATCAGAGAAACATCACCTTTTACAATAGCCACAAACAACATAAAAGTATCTTGGGGTAATGCTTACCAAACAAGTGAAAGACCTATATAATAAGAACTTTGTGCCTTTAAAGAAAGAAATTAAAGAGGATACCAGGAAATGGAAAGATCACCCATGCTCTTGGATAGGTAGGATCAACATATTAAAATGGCAATCTACAGATTCAATGCAATCCCCATTAAAATCCCAGCACAATTCTTCACTGATCTTGAAAGAATAATAATCAACTTTATATAGAAAAACAAAAGACCCAGAACAGCCAAAACAACCCTGTACAATAAAGGAATTGCAGGAGGCATCACCATCCCTGACATTAAGCTCTACTACAGAGCTATAGACCTGAAAACAGCCTGGTATTGGCACAAAAATAGACTAGTAGGCTAATGGAATCGAATCGAAAATCCTGACATTAACCCACACACTTACAGACACTTGAATTTTGACAAAGAAGCTAAGATTATACAATGGGAGAAGGAAAGCATCTTCAACAAATGGTGCTGGCACAACTGGATGATGGTGTGTAGAAGACTGCAGATAGACCCATGCACTAAACACAAGTCCGAATGGATCAAAGACCTCAACATAAATCCAGCCACACTGAACCTCTTAGAAGAGAAAGTAGAAGGTATCCTTGAACAAATTGGTACCGCTTCCTGAACATAACTCCAGTAGCACAGACACTGAGATTGACAATTAATAAATGGGACCTCCTCAAACCGAGAAGTTTCTGTAAGACAAAGGACACAGTGGACAAGACCAAACAGCAGCCCACAGACTGGGAAAAGATTTTCACCAATCCTACATCTGACAGAGGGCTGATCTCCAAAATACACAAAGAACTCAAGAAACTAGTCACCAAAACACCAAATAATCCTGTTAAAAAAAGGGGGTACAGAACTAAATAGAGAAGTCTCAATAGAGGAAATCAAAAAGGCTGAAAGACACTTAAGGATTTAGAGCAAAGGATCACCAGCCTATAATTCACACCATCAGAGAAACTAGGACACAAGGAGGATTCTAAGAGATTCATACAAGGTCCCTCACAGAAGGGGAAAGGTACAAGATCTCCTGAGCATATGGGGTGTTGGGGTGGGGACAGTGAAAGGAGAGGGAGCTAGGAGAAAGAGAAGGGGAGGAGAGGAAAGCATGTGGGACTAGGAAGATTGAGTCAGGGGAGGAATAGAGGAGAGAATAGAGAGACAGAGACAGAGAGACATAGACCATAAAAGAGGGAGCCATTATAAGTTTGAAGAGAAAACTGAATCCAGAGACCTACAAGACTGACTCCAACTAACAATTTGAGCAACAGTGGAAAGGCTACCATAAATATCCTTCCCGGATAATGAGATTGATGACTAACTTATCCACCATTATGGAGCCCTCATCTAGTACCTGTTGGAAACAGAAGCAAACACCCACAAGTAAACACTGAGCAGAACAGGAATCCAGATGCAGAGAGGGAGGACAAGACCAGGCTACAAAAACAGCTAGAGACAGCTGACCTGAACAAGGAGGAGCTAACGGCTCCCCAGACAGATAGCTGGGAATCCAGTATGGGACTCACTCAGACCCCCTGAACATGGGTCTCAGCTAGAAGGATTGAGCAGTCTAAGGGACCTCAGACAGTGGAACCAGGATGTATTCCTGGTGCACAAAAAGGACTTTGGGACAATGTTCCCCATGGAGGGATGCTCCCTTAACCTAGAAGTCCTAGTCCCTACTTCAAATGACTTGACAGATTTAGATGACCCCACCTGGAAGGCATCACCCTACATGTGGAGTGGGGGGTGGGTGGGAGGGGAGGGTTGTTGGGGGGCATGAGAGGATGGGAGAGAGGGAAGAGGGAGGGAGGGATGAAGGGAGGGAGAGAAAACTGGGATTGATATGTAAAATAAAAAGAAAAAATATTTATTTTCAAAAAAAAAAAAAAGACACTTCCATTAGACGGGACTGGTACCTCCAAGCACGAACACACTGCTCTCTCTTCAGAGGTGCACTGTTCTTGAATCTGATCTTTTAGGCTGAGCTAGGAAATGAGAAGGCACACGCACACATCCTTTTGCAAAAGAGCACACTAGGATCTGCGAGGGGGCCACGGCGCTGTTGACAAAGTTTACAACGCGGGCTTCGCAATAAGCACCACACTGAGACCGAGAGCCAGCCATAAGTAACCAAGTACACGTAACCAATTATAAGTGCTGCCCTGCAGCAAAGGAAACTTCCTGCTCAAGGATCAGGGCAGCTACATCACTGTCGTTGGCTGCAGACGACCAAACGGCAGAGGTATCGCCTACTTACTCGGGAATTTGTTCATGACTAACTGTACTCTAATCACGGGACCAGCCTCATGGGCATTTTCTTAAACATTAGACTCCCCCACCAAAGAGGCAGACTCGAGACATTAGCAGAATGAGAAGAAACAGGACGTGCTTACAGCAATGAGCTCTACAAATGTTCAAGAATCTCAGAGATAGTGTGTCCAACTCAGGACGCTTCCGTGAAATGAAGCTGTTCTAAATATGCTGTTCTAAATATACTGAGGTTGGAAGTTAAGTATTAGGGCATTTGGAAAACATCCTCTCAATAATTTACCTCAGAATATTGCTTCCTGTTCACTCCTTAGCCTGGGTCTTCAGGAAATGAACCTCACATCCCTTGTTGCTATGCTGGCCAACCGTACCCAGATGTTCCAGGTTTGAGCACTGCAAGTCTGACTTCCCAGGGACACCTTCCTCCAGATGTTTTTTGCTTTCACTGTTGTCTAAGCTGGGACTGCACAGACCGACACAGACAATTTTCCCACATTCATCCGCATCCGATTCTGACCCCTAAATTATTAATTCTATACAAGTGTTTTCTCTCATATGCCTGGGGTACGGCGGCACTAACAGGTGACATTTCTCATAGGTCTGCCTTCCAAGTCTACATTCTCATTTTGTAGTGACTGGTATAGAATAAACAGTCCTCTGTTCCCTCGTCAAGAACAAAACTCCCCTAAGTTAGGAAGGTAACAAAAATGCCTAACAGAGCTGATTATGACAGCATACACCTATAGCCCCAGAGCTCAAGAGACAGAGGCGGGAGGACCCAAAATTCAAAGCTCCTCGGCCACAAAGTGAGTTCCGGGTCAGCCTGCACAACGGGAGGCCCTTAAAACCAGACCACAGCCTCAGAAAGTATCATGTGAGAGCCTAAAGGGCAATGTCAAGTCCTCGCTGCCAAACTTAAATGCTCAGGACCCAGATGTCCTGAGCTTTGAATGCTGTCAATGTCTACATAAAGCCAGAACTGCCCAAAAGACAGACAAAATTACACTTTGAATGGACCTGCAAGGAAGAATGCACTCGGTCTTGCTGGCCCCTTCCTTTCCACTGCACCCACAGTACTCATCTCCCAACAGTTTACAGCTGACTTGGGAAATTCTTTGGTAAATTACTATTTAACAGTCTGATAGGTGACCTCGACTCTACTCAACACCCCCCCCCGCCCCGTTACACAAGGGGTGGCCATAGCAAAAACTTGAGAAAGTAATGCATCAGATCATAGGGGGACAGAAATACAACATAAATTCCAATGATGTGGCTAAAAGCCTATCCACACCAGCATGTAAAATGATACACACAAGAGAGACCACCTTACTCCTAATTCCGTCTCTTGCAGAACAGCCCTGTTTTTTTGGCTCCCCACCTTCTAATACCCAGCGACAACTGGTCTTCCTTCCTGCTGGGAGCAGTCAGAAACACCCAACTTACGTCCCCTTCCAGTACTTTCAATTCATAATTTCCTAGCTGTCAATGACCATTATTTTTTCCAAAGTTTCAATCTTTCATCTTGTATGAAAATTAAAGAATGTGTTAAGGAAGCAGGGAGATGGTGGCGTACACTGTTAGTTCCAGTACTCGGCAAGCAGAGGCAGGCGGATCTCTGTGAGTTCAAGGCCAGCCTGGTCTATAGAGCGAGTTCCAGGGCCAGCTCCAAAGCTACACAGAGAAACCCTGTCTCATGACATTTGGGTCAATCATCACTTTTTACAGGTACAAACAACCCAAACTGCTGGAATATTATCTACCTTCAATAATACAGCTAGAATACACATATATCATACACATGAACATAAAATATATGAATTATAAAATATGTGCATGTTTTAAATAATTAATGCATACACATAATCTGATAACTCAAGGCAGGTGTTCAGGTTTGAGATCTATCTCCTACAGCCATAAACGCACGCAGGATCTGCATGCACACTGTAGAAAACGGCATTGTAACATTATAATAGCAATCGCACATTTGCATAACACTGTAGAGAGAAATCCCTGGCCAGTTTTTACCAATAAATCACCATACTATGTTACAAATTATTTGAAAAACTATAAAAGCTATAATCTCGGAAAGCTCTTTCCCTTTGGTGTTTACCAAATGTTCAGTTAAGATAGCTGGTAACAAAGCTGGGTTTGGGGGTGTGGTGGCGCATGCCTTTAGCCCCAGCACTCGGAAGGCAGAGGCAGGTGGATCTCTGTGAGTGCGAAGCCAGCCTGGTCTACATAGAGTTTTCCAGGACAGTTTCTAAAGAAATGGTGTCTCCACAGACAAAAAGAAAGGAAAAGAAAAGAAAAATAGCTACTTGGCAACAGAAAGGGATTAACTCTGCATGTCATTTACACCCACTTTAGCTTTAGTATTCTTTATGCCATAAGTGTGTATCCTTCATTCACGAAAGGCCTGGAGCTTTTAATAACTAAAGGGTCAGAAAGAAAGCCAAAGCACGAAATCTACACCAATTCTCTGGGAGTCACCTATCATTTCCCATCATTATTACAAGTAATACTTGGACTGCATGGCCTTTGGATTCTATGTGTGACTTCCTTACCAACCGATACTCATTGTTTCTTGGAGTGACGGTCACTTTAAAAAAAAAAAAAAAAAAAGAGTTCCTGCCATCTTATTTCCAGGGTTAAGATCACACGAGGACTAGCAGTGTTCTTGCCTTTCCTGCCCAGGATCTGCTTACTCCTTCATTCACTAAACGCGCCCTGAGCTACTACGAGGAGGGGACCGGATAAAAAAACGGTTATTTATTGACACCACTAGGTTCCATGGCCTGGCTTTGCTCCTCAGACCGCGGTGTCGCTAGCTGGAACGGGGGTCGCAGAGCTGGGTTAACTCGTCCCATGCACGGTTCAAAACCGTAAACCCGAGGGCTCCGGGGGCATGCCCAGCCGAGCGCATCCGCCCAGCCCACTCCTGCGAGGCGGCCGGGGCGCGGGCCGGGGGGCGGGGCTCGCGGCAGCAGCGGGATGGAGGGGATGGAGGGGAGGGAGGGGAGGGACGGGGGCGGTGGGAGGAGACCTGGGCGGAGTGGAGTGCGCCGAGGGCAGGGACACCACAGACACCCCAGCCTCCATCGCCAGGGCGGCCGGGCGCAGGCGGGGGAGTGCGCCCCCTTTCCTTCCTCCTCCTCCTCCTCCAGGGGCGGGCGGGGCGGGCGGGCGGGGTACCTAGTTTCTGCCCCAGGTAGGTGAGGCTGTGATAGACCTTCTCGGCCGCGGCCAGGTGCGCCAGGGCGGCCAGCAGCGACAGCCAGCTGCCCCCCGCGCTCTTGTTGGCCTCCCGTTCCTTCTCCACATTGTCCTTGGCCTTGTCGTAGGAGAAGATGCCCAGGTGAGAGAAGAACGTCTCCAGCACCGCCTGCTCCACCGGCACCGGGGCGGCTAGCGGGATAGACTCCCCCATGCGACCTGCGCGCCCGCTCCACCCACGTGGCTCCGCTCGCACTTCCGGGTTCCGAGGGGTGGGGCCGCGCCTGCGCAGCCGCCTGCGCGTGTGCGCGCGTGCCCGCGCCGGGGCCGGGCGAGCCTCGGCTGGAGCGGGGGAAGATGCTCGCCGGGGACCCGTGCCCGAGGGGCTGGCACTCGGGTGCTCTGCAGGCTGAGCCCCGCTGCAGAGCGCGAAGCCGGCCACCTGCAGCCCCCCCCCCCCGGCCGGGCGGGCCGGCCCCTTGTTGCGGATGACGTCACTCACGCGGGCTTGACGTCAGCTGTGGCGTGCACATCAGAGCCCCAGGCCTGATCAGCCCTGGCGTGGACGGAGGTTGCTGGGTGGCGGCCTGATGGTTCGGGACGTGCCGCCCAGTTTCCATCCCTGCACACGCCATCTGCTGACGCCGGGCCATGGCAGAGCTGTGTGGGTCCGCTTCCAGAGCTAGAAGGCTTTTCTTGTTTTTTGAGGAGGAGGTGGAGTGGGGTTCGTGACAGGGTTTCTCTGCAGCTTTGGAGCCTGTCCTGGAACTAGTTCTGTAGACCAGGCTGGCCTCGAACTCACAGAGATCCACCTGGCTCTGCCTCGCGAGCTAGAAGGCACTCTTCACCTTGCCCATCCCTCTCAAACTCTGTGAGGCTTCCTGGCAGGAGGTCCTCAGCCGCAAGGATAAATTCACATAAATCGGTACACTTTGTCATGCGGGTTCTTCACAAGTTCCTGTTTTGTTTGCATATTTTGTATTTTAAATACACGTGCTTATTTTACACCAGTCACACTGAGTGTAGGGGTGTGTGTGTGTGTTTGTGTATTTCTTTCCCGTCAGTGAAGAGCTGACATGGGCAGAGACACTAGAGTCTGCTTACCATTGTAATGTTCATAATGGAAACGGGCATGTTTGTTGAAAAATTGAAAGAACCGCCGATCCTCTTTTTTCCCTCCCAAACTACAGGTGTTATATCATCACTGTCTATGGGCTTTTATGTATTATCGCTATTATTAATTTGGTTTTCTTTGTTTTGGTTTTGGTTATTTGAGGCATGGTCACACTGTGTAGCTCTGGCTGTCCCGAAACTCTATGTAAACTAGGATGGCCTTGATCTCACAGAGATCAGCTTAGGGTGGCCTCGATCTCACAGAGATCAGCTTAGGGTGGCCTTGATCTCACAGAGATCAGCTTAGGGTGGCCTCGATCTCACAGAGATCAGCTTAGGGTGGCCTTGATCTCACAGAGATCAGCTTGCTGCCCAGCTCATCGATACCTTTTAATGAGTAACTAACTAATCTAGTTTCAGAGATAATGTGCATTAGTCCTCTGTCCTCAAGAATGCACTTGGGTAAGTTCAAGCCTTTTGGCAGTTTGTAACAAAAGTTAGAAGTCAGATGTAGTACTGGCTTCTACACCAATAGACAATGGCAGTGTTCATTCCCAGCGTTACCAAAGAACACAAGCAGTGCTTACATCCTGGTTCTCAACCTGTGGCTTGAAACACCTTTCAGGATCAAATGACCCTCATCACTGGGGGTCAAATATCAGATATACTGCATACAAATATTTACATCACCATTCATAACAGTGGCAATATTACAGTTACAAAGTAGCAATGAAAATAGTTTTATGGTTGGGGTAGGAACAACATGAGACACTGTATTAAAGGGCTGCAACTCTAGGAAGGTTGACAACCACTGCCCTAGGTGATAAAGGCTGCATCATAATCATTAGGGGAAAGAAACTGGGGAGTGGTGAAGGAGACATGATTAAATGGGAAAGACTGTCTTACCTGTTTCTTGTAACAAAGTGCATTTCAAAACCATAAACTAGTGAAAATGAGCATGCCTAGGCCCAAAGAAAGAAAACAATTTGCAACTATACATGCATTGGAATAACTTACAAAGAATCAAATCTAAAAGTTAATGTACTGGCATATTAATGCACAGATTGGCGACTTTCACTGTGACATTCCCATACATGCCTGTACCATGCAGTGACCATGTCCACACTCCCCTCTCAAGTTCCTCCCTTTGGCGTCCTTCCCACTCCCTAACAGTGTCTTCTCACATACCAAGAGAATACAATGAAACCCTGAGAAAAACAATCTACAGCATATGCCAATGGGCTAATGTTTTAAGTTTTAATGAACCAAGACCTCTTTCTAACCAGTAAAAATAAGAGTTTACAGGGCCGTTAAGAAGGCAAGAACACTTGCTGCCAGGCCCAAGGCCCTGAGTTGGAGAATCCTGGGTTGGAAGGAGTTCTTTGTTCTGCAAGTTGTCCTGTCTCTTCCAAGTGTGCACATATGTACACTCACACTCAAAACAAATGCTTGAAAGGATATGAATGCACTAGTCTCAAGAAAAATAGAAATCACAGTTTTTATGCCCACCTTCACCCATCAAAGAAATGCAGGCTAAACTACCATATTCATTTTTGGCCTATGAAATTAGTACATGAAACTTCTTTTTTATGAAGGGTCTATGTAGACAAGTTGGCTACAATAAGCCTAAGGTTCTGCCTATGGAATTTTAGGGTTACAGACACAACTTATGACACCCAAACCCACAGTAAGCTTAAAACATTGTTATGTGTTTTTGCAGGGGCCTGTGATCACATGAGTATGTGTTTGCATGTAGAGACCAGATATAATTTGAGGTGTCTTCCTTATATAATATGATGCAGGTGCTCTCACTGAATCTAGAGCACACACATTGGTTAGGCTAGTGTCTGTGGCCACCATAGACGAACATATTTGAATGCTTGACCCATAGGGAGTGACACTACTAATCCATGTGGCCCTGTTGACATAAGTGTGGCCTTGTTAGAGAAAGTGTGTCACTGTGGAGGTGGGCTCTGAGGTCTCATATGTTGAAGCCACACCCAGTACACACTCAGTTTACGTTAGATTGGTTTCTGCTGATAATTGCACGAATAATTATATTAATTATATATTTTGGCTACTAATCTCATCAGACATGTGGCTTGCAAATATTTTCTAGGCATTCCATTTTCGTTTAGCTGATCCTGTCATTGGCTGTGTGGAACCCTTTCAGTTTGACGAGGTCTTGTTTGTTTGCTTTTGCTATTGTAGCCCATGCTTTGCTGGGGTTGGCCAGCACTCCCTGCTTTGTGAGAATGTTACAAGAGAATACGCAGACTTAATGATATGACAGGTTAATGGCATGTCAAACATTTAAAGTTGTAAGCCAGGAAGTTACCTTTACTGATTGCAAGTTCGGCCCACAAACCAAATATTCTAATGTCATCAATAACTGTTAAATATCTACTGATACATATAAAACGACCCCAAATTTAATGACTTAAGACAATAAAAACCATGCATTGTCTCTCACAACTTTAGTGAACCAGGGAAATTAAGAATGATCCCATTTGGCAGCTCTGACTCAGCCCTTATGTCCTGCAGATGGGTGTTGGCACAAGTTGAGAGCCTGATTGGAGATGGAGAATCTCCTTCCAAAGTGACTCTGCCCCTTGCTGGTGGGTTAGCACAGTCTGCCACCACAGGGGCTTTCTCCACAGGGCTGCCCGAATCCCTTCACGGCGTGGCAACGGGCTCATCCTGGAGCAAGTGATTGGTCGCGTGGCAACGGGCTCATCCTGGAGCAAGTGATTGGTACAACAGCGTGAGCCGCGATGCCTTATATCTCTTGTGCTTGGAAGTCATTGCTCTGTCATACTTAAAGCCAGCCTGAATTTAGTTAGGAAGAAAGGGTCACTGGACTGGCTAGCACAAATGGCACCACTGTTAGCATAGAGAACGGTCAGTCGTCTTAAACATATCACAAGATAGATGCCCAAACGGCCCCTCCAATAATGTCTTATTGCTGAAAGTGTCGATTTTGCATTTCAACCAAATTCTCTCCCATTAAGTCTAAAAGAACAATTCTCAAGCGGTCGTCCCTTATGGGACTCTGAAAATCCCCTCGGGGATAGTGAGTGCAGTGGCATCAAGCAGAGCAAATCATTTGGCTGAAGAAGGACTTTGAAAGTGGGTTAGTCAGAGTTCCAGCATGAATGGGGACCCCTCCCCCTTCCAGGTCTGACGCCAAGCAGAGGGAGTACTGACAGTCCAGGGCGCTGACAATGCGAATGTGGCTGCAGGGAGGCTGCTCACATCCATCCCAGTGAATGGGCACATGCCCAGGCACTCGAGGAGTTAAACACAACGGGACATAGAGTTGGGAGAGAAATGGAGTAGGGGATACTTGGGGGAGTTGGAAGTAGGCAGTGGTGGATGGGTAAGACCAACATACACTGCATAAACAGATGAGGCTTAAAATAAATAAAAACTTAATTTTTAAATGGAGTTAGACATTCAGTCTTTGGCTTAAGGAGCATAAAAGTGATTGTATAATTTCACAGTTATATATATTTAATTACGACTTAAATTGCACGTCATTTGGGTTACTTTCCCTTTCCTGACCCGTTTCTCAATACCATCAGGGGTGAAGCTGCGGTTGATGTACACTTACCCCTTGCCAAGCCCTTCATGCCTCAGTCCCTCAAGTCAAGACGGGAGTGGTCAGCGCCGTGCCAATTCAGGGAACTGGAGGCTCTGAAGGACATTCCTTGCCCAGAGCGCAAAGGAAAAGGAACTGCCAAGACTAAGAGCACAACTTGAGATGAGTCTCTTTAGCTAGATGTGGTAGCCCACGGCTCAAACATGGCCCCGTGCAGAGGCAAGATGAAGGCTCTGAGCCAGCCCTACAGGTCGCCTCAGCAGTAAGATCTCCATCTCTTACTATATTGGGAGCGTAGCTGGAACAAGAAGCTTTCCTAGGCTTCTGAAGAAATTCTTGATCTACACCAACCTCTTCTGCTGTCCCTTCAGGTAGTTTACTAAAGTTACTACCCTGCTGGCAGTAAATTAGATGGCTCTTTGGCACCTAACTTCCACTGAATTCCTTTTACTTTTATATGTAAATAAATTAGCATCTGTTTAACAACACATACACGGTCTTTTATGTTTAATTAGCTCTTCCAATTTTGTTTTCCTACACA